GTGGAAGTTTGAATAAGGGTATATAGATAAATTAAATTCAATTTTACATACTAAAACATAGCATAAACAAATGTTGCTAGAAATATAAAGAGGTAAGGGAAGAGAGATTGCAAATAATGATTTATCTTAGTTCAACTCTTCCTTTTGAGCCTACATCTAGTCTCTAAGCAACTACTTGAGATTTCTTCAGTATAACAGAAGCTCAAGTAAGTGCTTGCCACTTCAGTTTATCCATAAGTTCAATTTATGCATTTGCAAGCCTTTACAACAACTCACTTTATAAGTAAGCTTCTTTTTCCAAGAGAACAACCTCTTTTGATTTCAAGAAAAATCTCTTCCTCACCTTTACAAAGGTTTTGAGTATATAAATCACTCAATTGAAACTCTCTCTAAGAGTAATGATGAGTATAATGTAGCTCTAATACTTAAATAATGAAGATATAAATGATATTGGCACAAAAACAAATATTTTCATATAACAAGAGTAATATGATCATGAATTTCATAGCTTGATAATTTCTGAGGTTATCTCTTGTTCATATTAGTTTTGAGTGTTAAATTTATAACTTATAGAGTGAAATAAGTGTTAAAGACATCAAATGACTGTTTAGAGATGTTTCACAGTGATTATAATTGTTAGTGCAAATTTTTGTGAGCAACCAGTGCTAACTCATGGAAGAAAATGCATGTTATAATGCCCAGAAGGCAAATCATGCAACGAACTAAGATGTCTTCACATGTGATTTTGACTATAGTGGTTATAGAATGAAAAATAAGGCTCTAAAGATCATTTTTCACGTGTGTACAAGGTTTTTCATGTGTGATTGAGTACACTAAGGCTATTCAGTGTGAAAATAAGCTTCTGGAGGTCATTTCACGTGTGGATACAAGGTGCTCTCATGTAAGATTGGACACTGGTACTAAGTCATGCGTGTGTGACTGTTGTTCTCACGAGTGATTTTGTGGCTTCATTGTACATAATTTCATAATGTCTTAACTTACTCAATATAACTCTAAATTTAACAAATTATATATCGTTGAAAAGCTCTTGAAGTCTAGTTTTCAATGGAAAATTCACACTCAAATTCAATGTATGTTTTGAGATATGATCAAAAGAGTAGATGAAAGTCAAGACTGAATGCTGTGCAAAATCAATATCTCAACACTTAAATTCTAAAGTTTATATCTTTCTTAATAAAACTCGATTTTGAATAAATAAATTATCTTTGAAAATTTGTTAAAGTCTATTTTCAAATGAGATATGTTTCACATTAAAGTGATCTTTATAATGAGAGATATGACATAAAACATGATCAAAGGTCAAAACAGATTTTCTACACAATTGCCTTTTCAAGGATTAGACTTCAAGTGTTCATGAATTTTTCAACTTAACTCCATTTTAAGTAAATAGAACAATTTTAAAAACTTTATAGAGTTGTAATATTCTAATATATATATAACATTAATATTTTAATTAACTTTGGATTTATTTCACATGTGTACATATACTCTTAAAAAGAAGTGTAAATAAATATCTTTAAAACAAAAAAGTAATAATTAACTAGATAAAATGAGGAAATGTGTATATCAAGGGAAGAGGAAATGAATGGATAAAGATTGACAATACTTGGAGAAAAGAAAATAAAAGATAAGTTGAACACATAGGATAATTTAATACGTATGGATAAGAATTGAGTAAACTTGGTCAAAAAGAAAACAAGAGATAAGCATGACAAGTAGGACAATTTAATAAATACATTGCATTTAGAAATTTACTATTTACTATATATACCCTTGTTTCCTTAAAAGAGACAATGGGAATTTTACTAAGAAAATCAGCAAAAGATCAGAGTAAAAGTTGAGGATCGAGAAAGGTAAAAAATTATCTCTTATTGAGTGATATAACCTGCATTCACTATTATCAATTTCTATGGGAAACATGTACGCCTTCTAACCCACCCTCATGCATGTATTAATTCTTGTGCCAATCATTAACTTTATAATATAAGTATTCATAATACAACTAATGTACCTATCTATCCACCTCTACCACCACCACCAACTCCGGTTACTCCACTACCATTTTATGAATTCTACAATCCATCAGCAGCTCAGTATGATATCCCTCCACCAGAAGACTTTCTAGTGCCACCGGTGCGAGTGTCAGCTCCTCCTATGATTCACATCAACATAGATGAAGACTTCTTGAAGACTTTTGAAGACACTAATATGAACCAGCTTAGATTATAGATACTAATACTATATGGAATAAAATGGCTTAGGTTCACTACTTGATTATATATGATTTTTGGGACTATGATGTAATTACAATAGATGCAATATTAATATTATGATGATTATTTGATATGAATTGTATGATTATCCTTTAAATTATGTATTTCTAAATTTATATATTATGAACACGTTTAAATAAAAAAAGGGGATTAGTATTAGTATTATTTACATGTTTAGTATGAATTAAATATATATATATATATATATATTCCTAATACAAATAAATAGAGACATATTATATAAATTCCTTTGAAATAGCATACTATCTATCATGTATCTATATGACAATACATAATCTATAAAATAAGTATTTTTATAAAAATAATATTAGATTTCATATGAAAAATTTGTCTAGGATTTAGTGAATAAAACTGATCTTCTTACCCTTAGTATATATATACATATAAATTTTATTAAGTTTTATGATTTTTCTCTCTCATTTCAAGATTAAGTATTTATTTATGCAAATAAATAAATTTTTTTATAAAAAAACTATTAATTAGGTAGAGTTTATAGAGTTAATAATCAAAACATTTCAACCTTTGTGAGATATATGTGATAAAAAATGAAAATCATGATTATAGAAAATTATATCTCATATTTTTTCTTAAGAGCTAAAATGCATGTTTTGATTTAAGATATCTTGAGTCAATACTACATATCTAAATGAGTTCAATATAAAGATTTCTAGCTTAATGATATTATACTTATCAAGTCTAAGGCTTTCAAGGTGCATCTAAGCTCATATGAATATTTCATTTTTCTTAAGCTCTTCTTGGATCATTCCTCTCTTTATCTTTATGTTCTTTAATTATGAGTGTAGCATGCAAATGATGACTTCAACTTTGTTTAAATGATATATCATGAATAAAATAGTTAGTTTAAGTATTAATATGCATATATTCAAGTTATTTAATATAATATTATGAACACTCTTGGATATAAAATTAATTCAAGATAAGAAAAAATATGATAGTATAAAATAACTTTGATACATACAAATTATTTTTTCAAATCTCAATGTGATATAGAACAACATAAGTAAAAACACTTTAAAACACTTATTTCATAGTTATAGTTAACTACTATATATAAATGAAAACAATTAAGTCTAAGTATAGTTAAATTATCTATATTTGTCATCATCAAAACTTAAACTAAACATAATGTCACAAGCCATTATATCCAACATAATACTCCTGTGAATTTGTTTAAGAATTTGTTACTCTCATTCCATTATTTTTATAACTATCAAACCAAGAATTTGCAAGTGAAATTCAATCATTTAGTTTGTAAATGAAAAACTTATCAAACAAATTATCATTTCAAGTAATTTGCTACTCTATCATTATTTGTAACCCTCCAAACATAAATTTGCAAGTTAAATTCGTTAATTTGTGAAGGAAAATGATTTCCAAGTAATGTTATATTTGACAATTTTTTTTTTTGGACAAATTAGCAAATCTCACTTGTAAATTTTTTGTTTCAAAGGTTGCAAATTATGGAATGAAAGTAAGGCATTTGCTTAGAAGTTACAAGGGGGAGTATTGTAGCACCACAATTTTATAACAACCTTTTTTTCAATATTTTAACAAATTAGTCAAATAATAAGACTAAAGATTCCCCTAAACAATAACATTGGATTGAGGGCATTTGAAGCTCAAATAACCATTTCACCACAAGTCCAATCCAAAACATCAGAAGTCATTTTAAAATCAAAGTTCTACAATCCTTTCTCAAACAATACAACCCAAAAGAAATGTCATAAACCAACAGTTTTCCAAAATAATTCAGTTATCCCAAAACATAGTTCTACGTCATGGCAACATAATAATAAAACAATATTCAACAATTTAAAATATGTGCGAAGCCAAATGGAACAAGGAGCATAAGGTCACTCTTGGGCACATTTCCTTTAGCCCTATCGAATCAATTGCTTGAAAATGGTAGTTACATGGTATCTAAACATTTCAATAACATTTGGACCTTATAACGTACATCAACGTACAAATCCAAACCAATTTGCAGACATATTTATATATGCAAGCACAACTTCTGCGATCTTTTCACAAGTAGTTTATAAAATAGGGAATGCTGTTTTTCACAATTAACAATGATATAAATCCAATCAATTTAACAAGCGAGACCACTTAACCTTGCTTCACCCTTATATCCCACCACTTGCAATTTATTTTCATTAGTTGGACTCTAGATTGAGAATATATCTAGTGAGAAAGTACGTTATCATCAGAATATGACTCCTCTCATTAAAAAGAGGTGCTCATTTTCCCAAGCCGTCGGTACCAAAATGACAGAGAACTATTGAGAAAAGCCAACCACTAAACATTTAATAAATTTTACTTTATAAATTAAATCCAATGGCATGAAAGAGGAAAAGAAATAAAAGGAAGGTAAATATCAGATGCAGTTAACCAAATTTTGGTAACTTGTTAAAAATATATTTCTGCAATTTTTAAGTTAAAATTATTTTTTATATTACTTTTATGAATTTTTAAATAAAAAAATTGACTGTTTCCAAACACAAATGGCAAAGAAAGTGAAACTCACCTCTACGTATCAGCGTATATGAACTTGCTATGTGGCGATGAGCTTCACCGTCCAATCACATGAGAAACAGTGGAAAGTGGAAACTCCCAAAAAACGACGCCGTTTACTACGGCACCCAGTTTGCGCTCCGCTTCAACTATTTGTTCAGCGCTTGTAGTTGATAGCTCGACACAACACAACACAACACAACTGACTCTGTACGAGTTTGTGTTTCTGAGATCAGCGGAACAGTAAGCAAAATTACGTTGGATTTCTTTATCCGATAAATTTGTCCGCAATTTCTGAGCACCCATAAAAGGTATCTCTTACTTCAACTTCAATTCTAATATGATTATTTTTTTAATATTTCGGTATCTGGATCTGGGCTTATTAAATTAAGCTACATGTTTCGGATAACGATCCCTTCGTTTTTTTGTTTGTTGGTGTTGTATTTTTGAGTTTTCTCTCTCGATTTGTGCAGATGAGATCGTCTGGGTGGGGTTCCTTGGGGCAATTTTGGGTGTGTATGCTCATTGGAATACTCTGCAACTTGAAAAGGTCAGAAGGGATTCGATTTGTGATAGAGAAAGAGGAATGTTTCTCCCATGATGTCAAGTATGAGGGTGACACTGTCCATGTTTCTTTCGTTGTGATTAAGGCTGACTCTCCGTGGCATTACTCAAATGAAGGCGTCGATCTCGTGGTGTGTATATTTTCTGAAAGTTCTGTTTTTGCAGAAATGCAACTTTTGGGTATTTCTTAGGCTGCTTGATTGCTCAGTAGGTATTGAGTTCACGGATTATGGTTTGTCGTTTATTTAAATGGATTCTTGTTTAAAATTTGTCCAGTAATGATCGCACATTCTGAAACTTATTTCACATTTAGACTTGCTTTAATTTAATGATAAGCTTATTTCACACTCTGAAAATAGGGACTAGTGGAGAGAACTAGAACAAATTTTCACCATTGTTTCCCCTAATTTCCCCCTAGAGAGGGAAAAACAAATGCCCCATTTGGTAGCAAGGAAGAGTTTTTGATGAAAGTGAAAGAGGAAGTGAGGTGGAAATGGGATTTTAAAACATGTTTGATATGCACGTGAAAGTGAGGTATAATTCTCACTCATCTTAGATCTTAAGTCTGATGGAACTGGGTTACATGGGGGACTAATGGAACCGATATCGATTTTGGTGGAAGTGGATTCCTTGGAGAACTGGGTGCACATGTACCAAACATGAAATTTTTAGACTTCCATTTCCACTTTCACCTCTCCAATCTCGTTCTAGTGTATCGAATGAGGCCTAAAGAAGAAGCTTTATGCTAGAGAGGGAAAATGTTTTTTCTTTTTTCTTTTTCCTCCCGTTGTTTTCTCTCCTTCCTATTTTCTTCTTGTTCCAAACAAAGGGTTAATGTATTCATAGGGGAAAGGAAGTTTTTATGAATTTGTTCAGAACAAGTTCATGACCTGTAATTTGTGATTTTTCTAATAATATTGCGAAACTCTAATTCAACATTGGGAGTATGAACTTTTCCACCACTGGGTTTCTAGCTAGAGGATAGTAAAGTGAAAAAAGCATGTGATTTAGAAAACTAATGAGATCATTGCACTTGCTGTGAATTTATCTCTGTCGTGCTTTGTTCTCTACCTTGCTATGTTGGAATCTCATTACTCCATTATTACAGGTAAAGGGGCCTTCTGGTGATCAAATTCAAGATCTTCGTGATAAGACCAGTGAAAAGTTTGAGTTTGTAGCTCACAAGTCAGGAGTCCATAAGTTTTGCTTCAATAACAAGTCCCCTTATCATGAGACGATTGACTTTGATGTACATGTTGGTCACTTCTCTTACTTTGAGCAACATGCGAAAGATGGTAGGGTACCTGTGCAGCTATGCTATTATTGCATCCTGTTTTTGTCTTTCAGTATTACTTTTTTTTTTTTTAAATATTTACATGAATATCTAAACTTTTAGGGAAACTATGATGGATCCACTATTAGGTATCTATTCTGGGTATTTTTTAGCCAGTTTTGGCCGCAGCTAAGGTAGATTTCAGGCAGATACATAACTTTTTTGGACAGATTTGGGTAGTTTTGAGGAAGTTATTTAACTGTTTTTGGATTAATTTTGGTAGTTTTGATGTTATGTAACTTTTTGCAGTTTTGGACTGTTTTGGTGGTAGTTTTAAGGTTTCAAGGATGAACAAGTAATGGAGATGGGTGGAAGGAGTGATTTATTTGAGATTACTTGCATCTTGATTCTTGAATAACTTGACGAATATTCTTCAATCCTTTGATATGTAGAAAAGTGGGAAAGAGGGCAAAAGAAGGGAAAACAGAGGGGAGAAAGAGAAGGAAAGAGGAAGAGATGAGAGAGGAGAGAGAAGAGAGAAACAGAGGATAGAGAGATACAGAACAATATTTCTGGGTTTTTCAATTAAGCATTCTATCTGACTCACACTTTGGATCCTTTGTATAGGCTACTTCATCCCTGTATTCTAACAGAACCAATCTAACAAACCCCTCAACTAGCTAGACTATTTATTCTTTATTTATCTATTCTTTACATAACATCCTTGTTTCTGTTTGTAAGCATTTCTGTTCGGGTTTTCATCACCTATCATGAAAATTATCTGAATCCCTGCAGAGCATTTCAATCCATTGCTGGAACAAATAGCAAAGTTGGAGGAAGCTCTTTACAATATCCAGTTTGAACAGCATTGGTTAGAGGCTCAAACCGACCGCCAAGCTATAGGTATTGTTAATGCCTTTTTTGTACGAGAGACTATTGGTGAAGGACCCCAGAAGAATTCAATATCTGACAAGTATTTTGAACAAGTAAACATTAACAAATTGATAAGTGAAATTACTGTTTTAACAAGTATTCAATCTGTTCAGAGTCCATATATTAATTTCTTTTGGAGGCCCTTTCTTCATATTCTCCCTTTTTTTAACGTACAGCAATTGCATTATTCTGTACATAAAAATTGAGCACCTTATACATCATTTTTATTATGTATGTCATCTAGTTTCTCCTTTTAAATGCATTTTCTATAAGTTTGTGTGAAAAAACGTGTTGATCTTAACTATGCATCTACCAGAAGAATATTGACAGCTTTATCAAATATGGCATTTCTAGTTTCTGAGAATATTGTTTGGGTTAATGGCCTAAGTTTGCCCATTCTGATTTCTTTACATTTTGATGTTACCTCAATAACAGCAAATTACTAATCTCATTTAAGTCAGCATACACATTCTGACAGATTGTATGTGGAGAAAGGTGTTTTTGCATCATTCTCAGCAACATCTTAAATTCTAAGTGCTTTGCAGTGTTATGCTATAGGCTTAGATACGCATTTAGATACTGATGTAGATCACGAAAGAAAGAAGGGAAAGGGGAAAGAGAAAGAGGAAGAAATAGAAAAATAACAAGAGAAAGGGAAGAAGAATGATAGAGAAATAGAGACAAATATAGAAAAAGGTGAGTTGGTAGAGAGAATGGCAGAAAGTAACTTTTCCTTCCTGTCTCTATTATAAGGCATCTTTAACTACATTACTAGAATCAAGGAGAGATAGTTAAGTTATTAACTTTGTCTGAAAATATAACAAACTTTCAATTTTACTTGTATTTAAATGAAAAATTTTCAAATTTCCATTACATTCTCTCTCATAGTTAATGAGTTTAAATAGGGATAATATTGAAAAATTGTAATTAATACTCTATCAAATCTCTTATATTGAGAACCAAAGAATTCTTCCACAAAGTGCCCTGTGATAGGAAGTGGGGGGAGTATTCTAAATCTCAAATCACTGCAAAAGAAAATAAATTTTAAGGCTATAGAAAATTAAGAATGCAATGACTAAAAGTACAAAAAAGGGGGGGAAAAAAAGCCAAGGTTGAATAAGTGAAGAAGCTCCTCTTTAGTGGTTCACAAGTCTCTTGATTTCTCATTATTTCCCTCCCTTCTGAAAGATCTCTCCTTTAGAGAGGAAGATTGCTTATAAGACAAATCTAAGTGAGGAAACCAAACTCCTCCTTAGTGGTTCAAGTGGCATCCAAATTTGAGCTACATTTCTAACATCTTGGTATAGGGGTACATGAGGAAGGACAACAATACAATTGTCATCGCTGTATCAATTTCCTCAATAGGTGGTGCATCAATTTACGGATTAGACCTTGTGCTCCTTTGCCTTAAACCCTTGACACTTGTCTTTTCATTTTAGGGAACTTTGAATCTTTTCATTTTGATTGTAGCATAGAAAACTTGGCAGATTGACTGGACTAACTGGACTGAACGCCTATTTACCCCATCTGCTCAAAAGGGGTAAGGAAGAGTATTAACAAGGTGTTTGTTAGGCTGTCCAAAGGAAATGAACTTCACAAGAGATCTACTTCTCGATGAGAAATGGAACAACGCTCATCAAGAATGCTATCAGGTGTCATCTCTCTTGTGGGGGTACTAATTTGGACCTTCGTAGTCAAGCGTTCTGAATCCGAACTCATCTAGCGTGTGAACAATTTTACATGCCAATTATATATGTATACATGCAAATAGGTATAAATTTCAAGAATCTGACAAAATAAAGCTAGAAATAGGAAACTAAGTGCCTATTTGGTTTCTGTTTTCAAAAATAGGTTTTTGTTTTTAAAAACAAAATAAATTAAAAACTTATTTGGATTAGTGTTTTGAATTTAATAATACCTAAAACTGTTCTCATTTTTTAAAAAACAAAAAATAGAAACATCTTAAAGTTGTTTTTGTTTTATTTTTTTTTTTGTTTTCAGAATACATTACAGTTGATTATTGAAAATTACAGACATTTTGACTAATCATTATCATAGGTTACCACTATTAACTGTCAATGACCATCATTATTTGCCGATTTTTTTAATCCTAAAACTGTTTTTAAATTAAAACAATAAAACAAATTTTTTTGTTTTGGTTAGGACAAACTTTTTTTGAAGGACAAACTCTTCTTGATTTCTCATTGGTGTATGATTTTAAGATTGCCAACACTTGTTTCAAGAAGAGAGATGAGCATCTCATCACTTACAAAAGTGGAGCCTCAAGGTCACAGATTGATATTTTTTTTTTGTTTAGGAACACAGATAGAAGACTTTGTAAAAATTACAAGGTGATCCCTGGAGATGATGTAACAACACAATATAGGGTTTTAGTCCTTGATGTGTGTATTATGAGTAAAATTCAAAAGCGTCGACAACTAGTGGCACAAAGGATTAGGTGGTGGCAATTAAAAGGTGAGAAGTAAGATATTTTCAAGCGAAATCTTTTGGACAAAGGAATTTGGGAATCTCAGGGAAGTGCTAACATCATGTGGGAGGATATGGCTAAAAAGATATGGGAGGTTATAAAAGTAGTTTTGGGAGAATCAAAAGGTTCTGGTCAGAGAGATAAGGAGTCTTGGTGGTGGAATAATAGTGTACAGGATAAAATCAAGTATAAGAAGAACTGTTTTAAAGCCATACATTTGTGTAATAATGAGAAAAATTGGGAGAGGCACCGTATGGCTAAGAAGGAAACTAAGAGAGCTGTGGGTGAAGCTCGTTCTAAAGCTTTTGAAGAATTTTATAAGAGCCTTGAGACGAAGGAAGGAGAACGAAACATTTATAAGATTGCCAATAGTATGGAAAGAAAATCAAGGGATCTAAAACAGGTAAGGTGTATTAAGGATGAAGAGGGAAGAATTTTAGTTACAGATGATGAAATTAAAAATAGATGAGAGACTTACTTTTTCAAACTTTTTAATGATGGAGAGGGTTCATCTAGTAACTTGGAGGATTTAGTAACTGGTAAAGGAGAACAAAATTTATCATTCTATTGAATAATACGTGATAAAGAGGTTAAGGAAGTTCTTAAGAAAATGGCAAATGGTAGAGCCAACGGACCTGATTGTATATCTATCGAAGCGTGGAAATGTTTAGGTGAAGAAGGGGTGAGATGGTTCACTAAGTTATTCAATGTGATCTTACACTCTAAGAAAATGCCTGATGAGTGGAGGAGAAGTACATTAATTCCTATTTATAAAAATAAAGGAGATATTCAGAATTGTACTAATTATAGAGGGATTAAACTCATGAGCCACACAATAAAATTGTGGGAGAAAGTAATTGAGCACAGGTTGAGATTGGAGACAAGTATTTCTGAGAATCAGTTTGGTTTTATGCCAGGTAGATCAACTACAGAGGTGATTTATCTACTAAGGGGATTAATGAAAAAGTATCGTTGTAAAGATAAAGATTTACACATGGTTTTTATTGATTTGAAAAAAGCTTATGACCGTATACCAAGAGAAGTGCTTTGGAAAGTGTTGGAAAAAAGGGAGTACGGATTGCTTATATTAAAGCCATACAAGATATGTATGAGGGGGTAAAAACTAGTATAAGAACGCCTAGTGGTCAAACAAAGGATTTTCCTATAAAGATTGGACTATATCAGAGATCATCTTTGAGTCCTTATCTATTCAACTTGATCCTAAATGTTTTGACGGAACATATTTAAGGGGAAATTCCCAAATGTATGCTCTTCGCGGATGATATAGTTCTTATAGCAGAGACAATAGAAGAGGTTAATTGCAAACTTGAGTTATGAAGGAGGATATTGGAGTCGAAAGGTTTCCGTCTGAGTAGGAGTAAGACGGAATATTTATATTGTAAATTTGATAAGAGATTATTCGACAATAATTTGGAAGTGAAATTGAGAGATCAAATTATACCTCAAGTGGAAAAGTTTAGATATTTGGGAGCTATTATTCAAAATGATGGCGAAATCAGTGGAGATATTTCACATAGGATTCAAGTTGGGTGGTTTAATTGGAGAAAAGCTAAAGGAGTTATTTGCGACCGTAAGGTGCCTAATAAACTTAAAGGAAAGTTTTATCGCACTGCTATCAGACTGGCAACGTTATATAGTAGTGAATGCTGGGCTCTAACGGGACAGTAAAAGCATAAAGTTGGAGTAGTAGAGATGAGAATGTTACGATAGATGTGCAGACATACAGGTAAAGATAAAATTCGAAATGAGCACGTATGTGAAAAAGTAAGGGTAGCACCTATTGAGGAAAAAATGATAGAAAATCAGTTGAGATGGTTTGGGCATGTATAAAGAAGACCAAGGGAGGCATCAGTGAGAAGAGTGGAACATATAACTTTTAGTCCGATTAAGAGAGGTAGAGGAAGGCCTAAGAGAACACTCTTGGAAGTTGTTGAACGCGATCTCTTAATTAATAATATTTCTAAAAGCTTGATAAATGATAGAGCACAATGGCGTCTTGCAATCTATGTAGCCGACCTCACCTAATAGGATAAAGGCTTGTTGTTGTTGTTATTGTAAGCAAATTTTTTTGTTTTGTTTTGAAAAGCAATTTTAAAAACTGCATTGCAAAACAGCTTTTAAAAACAAAAATAAGAACACAATCTAACAAACCCTAATTCATCTGACTTTGAGAGTAAGTTTGATTTGGGTGCTTCAAAATTGCTCTCCAATTAGCTTAAACGTGGCTAACTCCATTGGTCTCTTTAGTTATCCCTGTTGGTTTGAGCAAGCAAGGCTATGAACTCATATACCTTCTCCATGTTAATATTAGTGTCATCGGCTTCAATCAGTTCAGATAGACATTAATGGGATTTTTCAACTTTCTAAACCTTTTTCTTGTCATTGGGCCCTTCTACACTAAGTCCTCCACTCAAGCTAGTTTATGCACATTAGCGAAATTGCCCTCAGCTCCAACCTACACAAGTTTCATCGATTAGAATGCATATAATAGGTTGTGCATTTGACTTGCCAACATAGTCCTTGTCATCTTCCATCCATTATCATTGCGATGCATCAACCTCAAATCATAAGAGAATCCATCAAACCTTGCAATAAAGCCTAGAATCACTGTAAATGAGAGAAATTTTTACCATTTGAAACCTTTTGGAGCTTTTGTTATCCATATTTTGCATTATATTCTCAAAAAAAAAAAAAATTATTTCTCACTGGTGGTTCATTCATTATTCTCCTAATCAAGATATAATCGATTGAAATTTTAGGAGAGTGAGAGGATGACAAGTTCTTCAACCTTGTGGAATAACTAAAAATACTCCCTCTTGCAGAAGTTTAGTATTTTTTTCTGAGGTGTTTTGTGCCTGTCCTCCAAAGAACTGATGCTGTTTTGGAGATAATCAAAACCCCTTTCTTAATCAACAATTCAACCTTGAAACACTAATTCAATTTAATGCCAATCATATCCGACGTTGTAATATGAGAATGAAAATGAAACTGAGAAATTTTTGCCCTCCTCTTACAGCAGCTAATCAAAGATCAAAGAACTGATTACTTATTTTGATGCAAACCTCTGATGTCTTTGAATCCACCTATTTCAGAAGCCAATTAAAGAACTAAGTGTGATGGTAGAGATGTTGATGCATGCCTTAGTGCAAGAGGATTCTGATTGCTATGTTTGGAATGGGAAGAAAGTAGGATGGAGAAAAAGCTAGGGGAGAAAATGGTATGTAAAGAATAAATAAATAAATAAAGAATAAGTAGTTTAGTTATTATTATTATTATTATTATTATTATTATTATTTTGGGGGTGGTTTGTTCGTTACTCAGGTTCTGTTAGAATAAAGGGATGAAGGAGCCTATATAAGGGATTCTAACTTCTAAGTGAGTCAGATGCAATGCTTATTATGAAGGAGCCTCTATGTTTCTCTTTCTCTTCTACCTCTCTCTCTCTTCTCTATTTCTCTCCTCTGTTTTGCTTCTTTCTTCCTCTTCCCTCTTTTCTATATATCAGAAAACTAGAGGAAAAAATATTTTTTTCACCCTTGTTTTCCCCAAATTTCCCCATAGGCAAGGGGAAAACTATTGGAAAAACTGTGTTAGGGAGGGAAATTATTTTCTCTTCTACTTTTTTCCTTAATTTTCTCTCCTCTTTATTTTCCTAACGGTAAAAGTTCCTTTCTTAGCTAAGCATGCCTTTGTCCAATAGGTTGCTAGTTGAGTTTCAATATAGTACTTCAGATGAGCATCCTTGTGATATCCCACTGAGAGATATTCAGCATGCTTTTGATTTGATTCACAGTTCTTAGTTTCCTATTCTTTACTCCCTCTGGTCCAAAACATAAGTAGCTTTTAACAATAATTCACATACCAATACAATCTTTATTCCTACAAAAATATATATTGTTTTTTCCTTTCTACTTTTATTCTCAATTTATGATGAGAGAGAAAAATGTTATAAATTTACAAATGCAAGGATTTAGGTTAATAAATACAATGAGTAAATTGGGAAATTTTTTGTTTACAAATACTAAATTATTTATATTTTGGATCAAGATTAGTTAGGAAAAATGCTTTATATTTTGAATGGGAGGGAGTATCTCTTACTTCTTCCTCTTTCTTCTTCCTTATGCTCCACTTTTCCTTGGTATGCTACTTCTGCATGATCGGTTACCTTTAAAAGTTAATAATTTTGCCCTTGTATTCTTGAACTGATTCAATTCTGCTCACCTACCATAAGTTAAAAATTTAACATCAAATTTGATAGTTTGTTGACTTAGAAACCGAATCTGACTGTTTGTAAATAACATTCAAGTCAGAAGACTATCATGTTTGGCATTAAATTTTTGATGGTAACCATAATTGGGTTTCAAAAACTAGGCATTGCCTGCTTCTGAAGTAGGGGGACCAAACTGACGCTTTAGTGAAACTAGGGACCAAAACTTAACTAATCCTTGGCTATATTATTCAAATTATTATTGTGACGGGGAACCTTATCCCAAAAGCTAGTTGAGGTGGGAGAATCAGCTCACTTAAATATCTCCAGCCTGTCAGAACCCTCCATAGGTGGTCTTTTCCTGAACCATTGACAATCTTGCTGGCTGGCTTTAATACTGACTGATTGGCACCTAACAGGGATGGGAAAACCTCACCTGAAATATTGGAATGAGATAACCAACTCATTTAACTATCCCATTGAACATTTTATGCTATTCAATGCAGGACTTGGTATCTCATACTATCAGGTCTCCCTCATAATGTAAATTGATAAAGAAAAAGAACATTCTTTATCCATCAAGATGAAGATTTTACTGATTAGTGTGTTGTGGTTTTTGATAGTATTGGTAAATGATGTACCTTGGGCTTGTCTAACTATAGAAGCCTTTATTGCAAGCTACTGAATGGATCAGAGAAAATATATCTTATTTGATAATATCTACAAGCCAATCTGAGCTCTTTTAACATTATTATTACGTGTTCTTATTTCTTGAATGCAGTAAATGAAGCCATGAGCCGAAGAGCAGTACACAAAGCACTTTTCGAATCTGCTGCGTTGGTTGGGGCTAGCGCACTTCAAGTCTTCTTTTTGCAGCGATTATTTGAACGAAGGCTGGGATCATCTAGAGTTTAAAAAAGCCACTAAAATGCTTCAGGACCTTTGTACTGTTACAGAAAAATAACATAATAGCAACTTTTTTTTGAAAAAAAATTATTTATGGATTTTTTGATGAGCTGGATTACTGATTTACTTGTAACTTAACATTTATTTCCTTCGCTACGTAGATGAGATTTCCTTCTGAAATTACGAATCTTGCTATGCTGTCCCATTTTCTTGGCTGTTACTCTTCCTTGCATATGCTGGTAATAGAACAAAGGGAAATATAATTACTGGTTTTTATAATTTTATTGAATTTTGCTTTTAGTTTATATAATTTTTTTTAAGTGTTTTCAATCTTTATAGTTTCAACAAGATTGGGTGATATTTGTTACTCAAGTCTCTAAAGATAAAACACTGAAAAAAATTGTAAGGATTAAAAGTAAAATTTGATAAAATTATAGAGATTAATGATTATGTTTTTTTTACAATAAATTTATAGACACATTGTTTTTCCTTTATGCTAAAATCTTGGTAGGAGTTTGGGATACTATAAATTATTGGATTGCATATTAGAAGCTTTGGTTTTTTTTTTTTTTTGAATAATAAGGTCACAATCAAAACCGTTTATAGAAAACAAAATATTAGATTAAATCAGATACCAAAAGATTCCTACGGTCCTTGGGTGGGTTATTAAAGATCATAGTGACACAGTTGTTATGCTCGGCTTGATAAACAAGTGGTAACGATTTGTTTTCCTAAATACAAGATCAAAGGATACATTATGTATAATTTATAAGCTTTGTTGGTTTTCATTATGCAGACCATGGCATAAAAAAGTTCAGTGTATTGGCACCTTGAATGATATCTAGTATATATTTTAATTTTAGTTGCATTCAATGCGTAATAAATATATTATGAGTTGGTGAGAAAGAAATCATTAAACGAGAGGGACCTGAACCAAGTAAAGGTTTGGAGTGTTTAGATTACATTTGAACAGTCCAAATTAATGTTCTATTTTTTTTATTTTACATTTATTAGAATAAAAATTATATAAATCATAAATTTTTTTAATAAACATGTTCATCGGTTTGGACAGTCTAAATTTAATATGAATGATTCAAATTTAATATTAAAAACTTTTATAAATGAGTATACAAATATATTCTAGATTATGGGGATTTAATATTAAATTTATACCACCTATATTAAACTTGGATTATTCTTTGCTATACAACACAGGGGAGAGGAGGAGAAGGGAAAGCTCATAGGATTTTTTTGAAGGCTAATTCCTTAAGGAATTGTTGCAAATATAACCTATATTATAGGATCAAACTAAGTAAATAGCTCAATATTTATTATATTTTGTATTATGACTGATTTATTATATTTGTCAATGATATACTGTTACATATTAATGATAAACCTCTTGTATATCAATGTGAACTGCCACACTCCCAAATTTTCAAAAAAATTAATTCATATTTTCTGGGCACAAATTTTTTTCAACCGGCCAATTTATCCATTTCTTAATTCTGGTTCTGTGGCTATCATATTTTTTTAACATTTTTTTTGAGTTCATTTTTTATTATTGATTTGAGTGCTTAGATCAAAAGCTTTATTGATTAATTATTTATGGCACTATTAAGAATGCAAAACAAATTTAAAGTTTGTACATGAAAAAATGCATGATTATATGGGAAATGAGGCCTAAAATAAGATATCAGCACTGTTAATGATAAACATGTTTGATTCAGAGGTATTCACTGGATCTTATTAAGTAAGGTTTTATGAAAGCTATATACAAACTGTAATGACTCAAACTTAACCATTTTCTGTTTTCAAATTCTATCCTTATTACAAATACATTAGTATTTAACCATAGATCATCCATGAGGTGACCCAAACATTCACATTAATTACGAAGAAAATATTGGTAAGAAGTATTAATGGCTGGTGGAGGATTTACCAATGCAGGAGCCAAAAGGGCTCATCTTTATGAACACAAGATTACAAGCTTCTTCATCTTCTCTTGCATCGTGGGCGCTATGGGTGGTCTCTCTTCGGCTGTGATCTTGGCGTCTCCGGTGAGTTGATCCTGCTCATATATAAGAAACTTTTAGACAGATCCGGTGCCTTTTGTCATTGATGGTGCATCCAATTAAATTGCACTAATTCAGTCAAATAAAATCTTACTCCCTCCAATCCTCATACATAATTTTTAGAAAAAATTCACACATCAATAAAGTCCTCATCCTCATAAAAATGTATATTATATTTCCTTTTTTAACCTTAGTCCCAATTGTCAATGTACTTCATGATGAATGATAAATAAATTTACTTAAAGAATTAGGTTAATAAATACAAGGATAAAATGAGTGATATAGCTTTTTTTCTCCTATGTATAAAAACAGAGGGAGTATGTGTCATTATTTTTAATGACTTTACTTTTATAATAAAATGCCTATTTAATTTTTTGTCTTTTCTCACTCTATTATCATATGAATGTCATGGACCATGGGTCTATCCAAGAATTTCTCTTCATGCATATAATATATATATATATAGAGAGAGAGAGAGAGAAAGAGAGAGAGAAAGAGAGAGTTAATTAATGAGAGAATTACTTTAAAGTCCTACTCAATACAATTAATTAAGACAACTGAATTTAAGAGAATGACAATATAATATTAATGTTAATGAACCTCGGAGTAATTAATTATCCTAAGTGAGAGTTGCATGTAATTAATTACTCAAAGGTTAGTCGCGTACGTATGGTTTATTCATGATTTAATTATTATATATTTGCGAAGGTGGCGTGACATCGATGGATGATTTTCTGCGAGAGTTCTTCCCACGTGTGTATGCGAACAAGCACGCGCATCTTAAAGAGACAGATTACTGTAAATACGATGATCAGATATTGACATTGTTCACTTCTTCTCTTTACTTTGCGGCGGCTTTGGTTTCGACATTTTTTGCTTCAAGTTTAACAAAGAATAAAGGTAGAAAAGCCAGCATCATCGTCGGATCTATAAGCTTCTTCATCGGAGCTATCATCAATGCAGCTGCAATGAACATCGCCATGTTGCTCATTGGTCGTATCCTCCATGGCGTCGGCATTGGATTTGGTAACCAAGTTTGTTCATCCACTGTTCTCAGTACACAAATTGAAGATCATTTTTTGTTTAAAGTCAAAAGTATTAAACCTATACATATATATAGAGAGAGGTTAAAGTAGACATTTAATCTTTTAAATTTACACAACATTTTATTTTAATTCCTTAATTTTATAAAACTTTTTTAGTTCTTTAACTCTAACACTATCAATTTTATTCCAAGAAAATTTTTTATTGATCTTTTAAATATTGACAAAACATTCTTAAATATTGATATATTAAGTTTAATTTTTTTAAAATAATAATGATTGATACAAAAATATAATCATTCATTTGAAACTCACAATGTTAAGGTTAAATGATTAAAAAAAAACTCTCTCCATTCCTATTTATAAGATATCTTCTAAAAATAATTTTTGGTTCAAAATATAAGACACCTTGCAACAATTAAATCACTTTTTCCAATCTTACCCCCTAATTTCTTGATTGGTGTAAATATATTTAATGTGCTTGTATTATTTTTTAAAGTCAAGGGTAAAAATAAATTTTACTTTTTTATGATATCAAGAAAAAAAAAACTTTTCTGAAGATGTGTGAAATAATTAAAAGTGTACTATAATAAGGATTAGAGGAAGTACTTTACAAAATTAAAAAATCAAATTAAAACTTTATATAAAGTTAGAGGATTAAAAGTATATTTTTTCATATATATATATATATGATTTTGAGAGAAAGGTTAAAATTGAAAATTTGAAAATTCTACCCGAACCACATTCCATGTTATGGGAATTATAGCATAAGCGGTGCATGTTAATGTGGGTGAATCAATAATAGACAACGTACTAATCATATTTGTCCAAGTTAATTATTTAATTGTTGGAAAACAAAAATATGCAGGCCGTTCCATTGTATCTTTCTGAAATGTCTCCAGCGAAAGTACGAGGAGCAGTGAACCAACTATTTCAGTTAACAACTTGTTTGGGAATTCTTGTAGCAACCCTAGTGAACTACGGCACAGAGCAGCTACATCCATGGGGATGGAGATTGTCTTTGGGTTTAGCCACAGTTCCTGCAACATTAATGTTCATAGGAGGCGTGTTGTGCCCAGAGACACCAAACAGTCTCGTTGATAGACCCCATGGCACAGATGACATAGTATTAATGGCAACAAAGCTTGAGGATGGTAATCATGAGCATGGTGACATGAAAGAAGCCCAATACTTCCAATCCAACGTATCTAAAGACCCATTACAACATATTGGAGGTCCAATGACAAGAGCTCGAACTAAAGTCATAAAGTAAGCCTTATTCAATCTTGTGCAAGAAGTTCAAGAGCTTGGAGAGCATTAAGGCACTCCTCTCAAGCCCAAAAGAGAGCATCTATACGTGTATAATGTACTTAAGATCCAAACTCATGAAGAGTCAAGTTCAAGATATGCAGACCTTAGCCCAATGCAAGGAAGACTACAAGTTGAGCCTCTTGCAAGCAAGGAGGCATGAAACCCTAGTGAAGAAGTCAAGGGTGGCGTTATTTTAAATTCTTTATGATTCCTTGATTGTCTCCTAAATTATTTTCTATTTTAATGATCCTTTGATTTGATTTCCTATCTTGAGTCTAGTCAAAGGTTAGAATTAATTATAGTATTAATTTCTAAATTTTATAATCCCATAATTTTAGAATCACATCTCTTAAATTATGTGGCTGAATATTTTATCATTATTTTATATTATTTCTCCTTTTAGTATTAGAAAATTAGGGTTTTAATTTTAGGAAATATTCTTTTCTATGAGCCTATATAAATTAGGCATGTTCTCTCTTGTAAACAGAATAGAAATTGAATGAAATTATTCATTTTAGAGTTTATAACTCTTGTGAGCCTTAGTGCTTTGTGGTGGCATCCTATGTGAGAAACAGACGTGATTAAAAGCGTGATTAACTCTTGTGGTGTCTTTGAAGGTTGAGGTTTCTAGAGGTAGGTATTCTATAGAATCTTTTTCTTGATCATTATGCAATTATTTATTTCATATCTTTCTTTATTTTTATCATAAATTTCGTCTCTTTCTTTTTGTTTTTATGTTTTTGTTGTGTTA